TTTAGGATAGTTTTACTTGCGTGTATATAGAGTCAGTGTTCATACAACTGATATTCGTTTTATTGTTTCAGAATACATTGGGAAACAATTTCCCGTATAGCATTCGAAATTAAAACTGTGGGAAAATGCGAAAGCCATTTTTGAAAAACTCAGTCACATTAAATTTCTTGTTTACCTAAAGATACAACGTATGGAAGCAGGGTTGCCAACTCTACTGATTTTTCCGATTTTCTACTGAAATCAGTTGCTGATTTTTCGGGTTTTGTACAGATTTCTACTTATTTGGGTATGATGTTGAATTCTGAATTAGAAACACTGCACTAGGAGATATGTCTTTCGTCGTCTCATTTCATTACTATTTGTGAAATATAACTTCCTTTTATTGTTTTAGTGGTCGTATGTGACAAATACGTTTGGAAAAAAGGAGGTTATTTGTATTGAACTTTACTCTTTTCTTTTGAATTTCTTAGTAGATTCATACGGTCACAAAGACGGAGAGACAAAATTGTAAGACAGAAGAAAATTCTTCTCCCTAGTGAGATTTTTGTACTGCTAAAATCCATGAAAGAAAGCTGATAATGAACGAAATAAACTCTAGACTAAATAAATACATTATATCAATAGTATTGAGTTATTCCTTCGTGTGGGCTCAATCCTATACTGTGCTGTTTGTGAATGGCAATTCTAGTATAGAACGTATTTTACTTTATTATTTTTATTTCTTATACGTTCTAAATGAAGCGTCACCGACTTTCGTAAAGTAGGTTTCGTATTTTGCAAAGTATAATTTGTATATAAAATACACTGTAGAATCAGTAAATAAATTAATACTAGGACGCCTTATATACTCCCAAGTCTAAGTAGTTAAGGGGATTGATTCAGGGTACAAGTCTCACTTTAAATGTGTGCACTCGAATCCCAATATGTGTCAGCGCCAGCAAAGTGACTGAGAAAAGTACGTAGTGCTACGAAAAGTACTTATAGTATACTTTATGTCTGTAGGGGGGGGGGGAGGGGGGGTTGCACATGTAAAATACATGTGCAACAAAGCACAAGTTCCCCTTGCGTTTGATCCTTTGAGCGCGTTGAATGGGAAGCTTTTCGATTTCTTGAGAAAAAAGTGGTGAATGAAGACGGAATCGCTTTGAGCCTTTCATCTTTTTAAGAGAATAAGTATATAAATGTTCTTATAACTCCGAGGGGCAGATCTGAGACTTCAATAACAGCGTATAGAATGGTTGAGTTTTTCACAAAAGTGATGTCAGCAATATAAAACCATTTGCAGATGTGAAAAACTCTCTACTAAACATTTTTTAAGGGTTTATTACCCGTCATCAAAAAAGGGGTAGTAGGGTTTTTTTGATGTCTGCTCTATTTTAGGTAGCTGAGTGGAACACTTTTCTAAATCCTTTTAGGTTTTGTACACGACGCTGTCTTTTAGAGTGTATGCGCTAGAGCATGCTGAATTTAATTTTAATAATTTCAGCTGAAGAAATAATTTAATTTCATTGGGCTTTGGCACATATAATATGATCCTCTCTAAAAACAAACGTATTTTAAGAAACCAAAAGGGTATTTCGTCCCATCCACAAAACGAGTTTTGGTTTTGTATGAGATGCAAAAAACCAAAACTGGTATCCCGACTGCTGCTAAACGATACTCTAAGGAACTAAAGGGTTTTTCATTCGAAAAAGGGGATTTCAGCTTTGAAAATACCCTTAGAGCGTATTTCATTTCCATTAGGATACCAAAAAGGATTCAGTAGGTTACGAGCGATCGGTATCCCAAAGTACCAAAATGGTTTTTGCTATCAAAATAAAATACCTTTTTCATGGAATACCAAAATTGGTTCTGCAGAATGCCAAAAGGGTATTTTAAGAATGAAAATACCCTTTTGGTTCTGTAAGATACGGATAATTTTTTCAAAATATCCTGAAGGGTATATTAAATACTAAAAATGGTATTAGAGGATACCAAATTGGTTTTTCTGCTTTTCACAAACCTTTTTTAGCTTTTAGAATACTGATTTTGTGCTATCGTTTTCAACCTGGATTTTTAACACTTATTTTTTACGCCTATTTTCATCACCAAATGACTTTCTAGCCATGAATTAACTAAATAGATGCATTTGCAAACTTCATAGTATCAACTCGTCCTTGGATCTAATTCTGGTAAATTCCCATTATAGATACGTTTTTGTTTTAGGAACTTTTGAAAGAGCTGCGCGAAGTGTTGATATTTTTGAGTCTCTCTTTCGTTTTGTTCATTGAGAACCGATTAAGTTGGGCTGAAAATTTTAAATTGTGCTACGAATTTGCAATGGAAGAAGAAATCTCCTCTTCTAAACGAACTTAGAAGTAGTTTGAAAATGTTTGAGATAGCGCTGAAATTAAAGAAATAGTGCTGGAAAATCTGAAATACTGCCTGCTATTTAACGAGAAAGTAACGTAAGTAATGTCCCTCCTTATTTGTCCAAAAGGCGTCTCGCAAAGAATGCAAAAATATGATATTCGGTTAGAGCATAATTTCTTACCTATTTGGGAAAGCAGGACATTTTTAATGCTTTTCATTCAAAAAATTCAACTTTTCGAATATACTTTCCGCATGTTTTTTAAAGTCATACTCATCCCCATAACCTCTAAAAGCGGACAATCGTTTTTAGCCGAGTCTGGATGCGCATCGTTGCGAGTTTTTAACATTCCTTCTGGCATCGATGCGTATACGCACCGAGGTGTTTTACAGCACCAAAAGGGTTTTTTCTCGAGAATAAAACCAAGTCTGGTATTTTCAAACATATTATATGTCTGAAAATATTAAATAAAATTATTTCTTTTTCGTTCGTATTTTACTAAAGTCGTTTTGATTAAGTACCAGCGATTTAAAAAGGACATGGTGTTTAGGGATCATCTTTGCAGGATGTCCGGGAAAGAAAAAGAGAAGTAAAATTTCTAATCGAGCTTTTTCCCAAACGGGAATAAGTTCTTGAAAGCTTAAGTTCAGTCCAGTCCGGGTCGATGAATTCAAAAGCTTTCCAACCCATATAGAGCTCTGACTCGATGATATATTGTCTATATTCTGTAAGTTTCATTATCCGTAGACGGCTTTTTTGTGTTATCGTAGTAACTTATTTCTCGCGACATCTGTCTTTGAACAGCAGCAAAGGTTTGCTTAGCTATTCTTTCTATGCATCAGTAGGTGTTTCAGATTATCTCTTTGAATATTTTCAGTCTCGTAGTTAAAAAAATTTTCTATTTTCTCTCTTATGATTGGATTATCCACAGAATATCCACGTCTGTTAGCCGTTTTTTCATATTTTGAGCACACACTGTAAAAAATGCCTCTCGTTTAACTAAACGGTCAAGTGTGTAAAAATAAAGCGTTTGTGACTATGATGAGCGAGAACTTCTATTCAAAATAACGTATCTTTTATTCATTTTCTTTTTCAAGATGAATAAGGGCATACGAGTGTAAAACAGCTTCTTTTATTTTAGCATTTATCTCTAAGTGCTTGTACAGACTCTGGGTTGACAGTGATTCATCAGCTCTAATTACGGCGCTTATTTTCTTTTTTGCCTGCTTGGATGCGAAGTAGAGATTCTCGGGTTTTGACTTCGTTTAATATATTTTTCTTACATTAACGGATTTTCTTTAAAAGAAGATTGTGCAAAAGAAACGTCTTTCTGTTCTCTCTCTCTGATTTTTTGGAATATTTTTATTTTTTTCTCCGTTATATTTATTATAATTTTTTCGTTGAATAAAATTTGTTTGTGTATACTTGAACAAGCATCCTTTCTGATGTTCTCTATTCATAGCTTTTTGAAACAAAGAAAAAACATGCCTTGAACTACTCTATCTTTTTTTGTCTATGAACTGATTTACACGGATACACTTAAACGAGGACGATAGAGATCAAGTGGACTTTGGAAAAGTGTGGAAACGCATACTTTAATCTACTTCGTCTTGTGTTCCATGCAAAACCTGATTTTTGAATTCCTCTTTCCAGATAGAACTTTGAGTTTGTTTATTTCTTTTGAGTTAAAGGATGAGAAACTGCCCCTGTTTTTCAAGGAACTTTTCGTTATTTCTGTGTAGTCTAGAAAATAGACATTTGTCTGTTTACCTCTGAATTCAAGTGAAAACTCAAGTGAAAATAGTTTCTTTTGTTCAAGAGAAACTGAGTTTGAAGATCGAAGTTATTTTCAGTCTTCAGACTTCTTCGTTGAGCGAAATTTACTTGCTTTCTTGAGTATTTCCTTGATTTTCAGAGATAAACAGACAAAATGTTGATTTTCCGTTCTCGAAACGCCTAAATGAGACATTTGAAATCAGTCTGACTGATTCGGTTAAAACGAAAGCAAAAAACGAAATACCCTCATTTTCCAGCGAGTTCCCTTTGAATTTATACTCCGATTTTCGAGAGATATAGGAAGTGCTTTCAGCTATACTCTACCTTGTATCCTATTTCATCTACGGGGCAGGGAGAACAAACCACAGAACCTTGATACAAAAAAACAGATAGGTTTACAAAATTCGGTGCCGCCATTTGAGAGTGCTAGTTTGGGAGGTCCGTGTCGGACAGCCCTTTAACTTTCAACTTTATCAGATCATGTTTTCTTATTCAGTTTTTGACGTGCAAGAAGAAAAAAAATCATTCGATACTTACATACTACTACACAGCGCGAAAATTCTCGGAAAACGAATGTGAGCGATTTTCGAGCTTTTGTGCTGTATTCAGTTTTTTCGATTTTCCGGCATGAAAACAATTTTTTGAAACTTTAAAAAGTACATTTTCTTAATCAGCTCAACGAGCTCTATCGAAGGATTATATTATTTATAGGCTAATATATTAATAGTAGTCAATAAAGCTGTGTGTTTCAGAAGTTGTTATTTTCACATGTAGCTATAAAAAAGATTTTCCGATTAAATATCTTTATGGAGGATGAACGTGGAAATACATAGTTGTTGAAGAATCTATAGTTTGCCTATTTGCAGTAGAATTCATGGAATATCGCTTTGGAACTAGACGAGGTAGGATGGCCGTGATTGTTCTCAAGGTTGGTAATGGTGCCGCTTGAACAGTATTTTCAAGATATTGTACCTTTGTGTTGAAGAGCATTAAAAACAGTTGAATTCTTTCATGTTAGTTGTAAGTTACTGTAAAATCATTAAATTGCAAAAAGTCAACTGAGATATAACTCGATGTTGTCAAATTAGACAATATGAAGACTACAGAATACATTAACACTATTTGGCTTTCGATCAGTCATGGTCACCAGCGCTTAGTTACTCAGCATGAGCTCTGATTTTATTTTTTCTCTTATACGGTCTCTGTCGTCGCTGAAAAACTGTCGCAGTTAGTATTTTTAGGACAGCATGCGGACATCAGAATTTGTTGCGGCTCAAACTTTTTTTAAACAACATTAACGTTTTCGACTGGTGAGAAACTATAACTAATGGAAAATAAGGGTTTTGAAAAATATCCTTTTTCAAAAGACTAAGGTGAAAATTTTCGTTTCAAATTTTTTTCATCCGAAATCCATCATTTTACACATGATGTTTATGTCGACTACGGCTGTTGTGTCAGCGGACAAAGTATGCTTTATTTTTTCCTGTTTGTTTTGATTTTATCAAATGGAACAGAACTGTGGTAGTTTGATCCTCAAATTTTAACAATGCGGCAGAATTGTGGTTATTCTTGGAAGTGGTTTTTGTACGACGTTTGATTACGAAATGAAAAAGATATGAAGCTAACAGATTCGATTTTGAGCATAAATTAAGAGTGATGCAGGTTCAATAATTTAAGCTTTTAAAAATAAATTATATTTTCTAAACAAAAGAAAAGCATGTGCAGACAGTCATCGAATGCACTTAAAAGCCTGCTGTGCAAATCTCACTGCTTTCGCTTTTAGAATGTTTTGACGGCGAAGCTACAGTGTTGAAAGAGGATGGTTCATCGTGCTCGATGAAATATTTGAATGTGGGTGATCGAATATTAGTATCGTCGTATTCATCGGATAACAAGTTAATCACTAAATACAGCACCGTATTAGCGATTGATGTTTACCAATATTTTGATTTAAAGTCGCCCGTTGAATATTTAGAAATACATACGTCTCTTACTAATCTGCAGCCATTACATATAACTGCCGCTCATTCTCTTCTGGTCAAAAAACAAAACTCTACAGGAGAAAAATATTTATTTGCTCGGGAGATTCATTCAGGAGATTCAATTTATCTGGTGAACAAAGAAAATATGGTAGAAGAAGTACATGTCACAGAAGTGAAACAAACAACATCCTATGATGCTTATGTGCCATTAACGTATGAAGGAACATTAGTTGTCAATCAGGCATTAGTTTCCTGTTATGGTACAGTTACGCATAACGTCGGTCATTTAATAAAAGCACCAAGACGATGGTGGTACAAAGTGATCTATGATCTATTAGATTCTAATAAACGAGATATGTCCAGTAGCATATTACATATGCTAGAAAACATACTTCTAAGTGTTTGACAATTTATCAACTATTCAATTAGTATTACGACCGACTCGAACTGCTTGAACTTTTATATCGACCGATTTTGATCGCTTTTTTTTATCGATTTATTTTTAGAAAGCTTTTTCGGGATTTGCGTCTTTTTGCAGAATTGCAGGGAAAAATTAAAAGAAATGAAGTCTTTTTGCTTTGGAAACAACACGAGGATTAGTATATGCTATAACCGAAATAAGTTCAAATGAATATTATCTAATACATAAAAAAACCGGTTTTAGACAAGAATCACATATATCTTTCTGACCAGTTGTTCTATAGTCTTTTGGAAAAGTGCTCTGACCAGGTATGCACCAAACCGATAGTTCGGTGACCGAACGGTTCGCAACCGAACATGTTCGGTCACTAAACCGTTCGTAAGCGAACATGTTCGATCACCGAACGGTTCGCTACTGAATATGTTCGCTGCCGATCAGCGAGCTCTAGCTTGGGATGGTTGCATGCCTGATCTGGACTAAAGGCAAATTGAATGAAATTGAAGCTTTTGAAGGAACTAACCAGCGAGAAAATAGATTAACTAAAGCACAATGTGAGCGAATGTGTCTTCTACCGGATCGCAATCGAACGTGTTCGGACGAACATTGTAAATACAATAGTTTATATTTTTCTCGTCAGGGACATCGACGAGCGCTCTGCTGACAAACTATTAGGACAAAGTACCATAAATTTTATAAAGATACATTCAAATTAGAGCTGCAACTGCCTGTCTACTTTTTTCTGCACAGTGAAAAAAACCATTTTTGCATGAAAACAAAGTAAATCAATCTGCTATACAGAGGCCACGTTAGTAAGTAATTAGAGAGTAAATCAGATATAATGGAAACTAAAGGTACTTTCAACTTCGTGGAATAAAGTAAACATAAATTTGCTGCTCTGATTCAAACTTTTCTTTACATGACTATCTACGGCTACGGCGTAATCAAGGCTGCGCCTCCGTTTGGCGTAATCTTCACCATTTTTTCTGTTTTACAAAGATTTCTTTCATGTGTTTCTTCGTTCTCATGTTCTTAGCTTTGACAAACTATTATTTTTAAACCTTTGGTAGCGATTCAGTAGAAGACACATTCGTTCACATTGTGCTTTAGTTAATCTATTTTCTCACTGGTTACTTCCTTCAAAAGCTTCGATTTCATTCAATTTGCTTTTAGTCCAGATCAGGCATGCAACCATCCCAAGCTAGAGCTCGCTGATCAGCAGCGAACATGTTCAGTAGCGAACGGTTTGGTGACCGAATATGTTCGGTTGCGAACGGTTTGGTGGCCGAACATGTTCGGTAACAAACCGTTCGGTGCCGATGAGCGATTCCTAGTTTGGGATTGTTGCATGCCTACCCTATACCATGCTATTTTTTAGAAAAAGGTACCATTTAGCTTTTTAGTTATAAGGCTGCCAATGTCACAGCTAAACGCATGAAAAAGTAGGTATTTACGCCAATATAAATGTCAAATGAGTTTTCAGAGAACTTTCTGACTTACCATGACTTTCCGGCTTTCTCTTCGGGCCATGGTAGCCAGAGATAATGTATGTAAAACAGAAATAAAAATAGTTACAAGTATTCATAGTCAGTATCTTCTTGAAACAGTTATTAATAATCTATGAATAAGAGTGTTAAATGATGAATAATAACTGCTCATCCATACCGTTATATTCATCATTGTATAACGAAACATTCATATTCATATCTATATAACCCACCTAAGTAGTTCAGTTAAATGAAACTTAGATACTTTTTTCTTTCTTTGCAAACTATAGAGAGACAGATATAAAGCTAGAAATGGAGAAAAGAACAAATTTTATCGTTTTATCAAAAGAAAGATTACACTCACTATGAAACTAGCGTTGATTCCCAGATTAAAAAGTTAACAAATTTGACGGTACCCTTCTCCAGTTTTTCTTGTAGTTTGAAGTACACAAGTTGTACTCTATGCCACGGTTATTTTTTTAAAAAAGGTACCGCTTAGTTTTTGAGTCATGAGGCGGCTGAAATGTAAGCGTAAGAAACGAGAATAATGAGCAAGCGGATGCTCACTGTGAATTTTAAATCGATATACCTTGTTTTGTTGAATAAATGATTTTTTATCGAGGTTCTGCGCAAAAAAATCAATTTCTTGACGGTAAACTTAAGAAGCCTGCAACTTTTTCTGTTAGACTTACCGTGCCACACATCAAAGATGAGTGTTAAAAATGAATATATAACCTTGTAGAGAATTAAATTGTCTATCGTTTGGTATAGCAAGGAATTTTTTTCTGAAACGATTTGTAAAAGAAAAACTGCATGCAAATTGTTTCAAAATAAATTGATCAACCTGTATATAGTCTACGCACTAGTTCAGCTAGATGAAACTTTGATGTTTTCTTCTTTCTATGCATTCTATAGAGACACACATGTAAAGCAAGAAATGAAGAAAATAACAAATTTTATCGTTTTATTCAAAAGAAAGATTCCTTTCACTATTAAATTAGTGGATCTAGGAACTTCTCAGATTAAACAAGTTACAAATTTGAAAGTACCCTTCTCCAGTTTTCCTGCAGGGTTGAAGTACACAAGTTGTACTCTATCCCAAGCTACTTTTTAGAAAACAGTCTCTTTTACCTTTTAAGATATAGAAATCTCAATATCACAGACTAAAGTTAGTTCTACGGATTCCACTGTAATTTTAGAAATTGCAGAAATTTGGAATGACAACAAAACTTTCTTGATCACTTTTCGAAACAGTATAGTGAGAGAAGCCCAAGTTCTACATTTATTTTTCCCAGTGAAATTGCTAAAATTAAATTGAAACGGATCCATTTTACTAACTTTTATCTTTGATATTGACAGCTCTATTTCTTAAAAATTAAAGAAACTTTTTTTCTGGAAAATATGGCAAATATATTACAATTTGTGTACTTCAGATTAGTGTAAGAAGTGGAAAGGTGTTCTCTCTAATTAGTTTAATTTTAATTAGCGAAGTGAGCAGAATACAGAATTCATTTAGAGCTAGGGCACATTCGATAATTCAGTCTTTTCCTTACTTTGTTAGTTAAAGGGAAAACGTTTTGTGTGCTGATATACGAAAAAAGAATCAGAAGTAAGAATTGTGTGATCGAAGACAATAAAAAAAATGGCTATTTTCCTGTGAAAATTATTATAGTCAAATTGATAAAAGTGTATACAGATGATGCAAAATATACAAATTACGAAATATTATACTCAAACAAATTCATTCTGAAACAGCCTTCATTGATACAATTCCGTCCTATCTGAGACCTATTTATGACTTGCAATATTTAGCATCTCTGACTGTTAGTGGAGCAATGCATTTATCATCAGGAGTAAAAGTGTTTAAAATTCTAGGTTGGATTCCGTTAGAACACATCTATGCAATTAACAAAATCATTCTTTTCTTCAAAATAAAAAACGGTCTCACACCCACTTTTCTTTCTACACGTATTCCTAGACAACCAATTGTTACTACATCTTTACGCTCAAGAGAGAGAGGTCAAGTAAACGTATTTCGTACTCGCACAGAAAAATTCGAAAACACTTGTTTTCCGTGGGTTGTGAGACAATGGAATATATTGCCTGTCGAACTGCAAAACATAATAAAATTAAAAAAATTTCGAATAAAAAGTTATGATTTCTTTTTTCCAAACTACAAGTGGCCATGTTTTAAACTCAGTGAGCGTAAATATGATTGCATTCTAAATCAAATGAGAGTTAACTTCTCTCCACTAAATTCTGATCTTTTTCAAAAACATTTGAGTACTGATTGCTTTTGTGCTTGTGGAAAAATAGAGTCAGTCAAACATTTTCTGTTGGAATGTCCACGTTATCAGCATCAACGACAAACACTTATTTCTGACTGGTCATCCCTAACCTCATTTACGCCTGCAAATGACTATTTTTAGAAAAATTTGATAATCTAGATAATTCACAAATCTGTCAGCTACATTTCTTTATTACTAACTATATATATATATATTATATGTAAAATACTGAACGTTTTTGAACCCCAAACAATCTCTTAATCTGTCTCCATTATGCCATATTTACCCTTCTCCTCTTCAGTTCTTGTTCTTTTTCTTTGCCTTTTCCTGATTTTGCTTTTATTTGTTATACTTTTACCAGAGGTTCAGAATCATGTCTTAAGTGCGAGCGGCGCTCGGGGAAGAAAATGATGACCGTGGCGAAATTTTCAATTCATAGTACTTCTGTAGGAAAAAAATATTTTAGGGAAAGTTTTGAAAATGTTGAATACTGTCTTCAGGCTTACAGCGAGTCCGAGTATCTCGAGTAGGACGGGTTACCGGAACTTCGCCAATAAGACTTTCGCCAACTGGCCATTCGCCGATGGCGAAATTCCATCGTACTTTCACCAACATACCTTATGGATTTTTGCCTATTGGCGAGAGTCCACATGACTTTTGCCAATGTATCCCACAGAACTTCGCCAATTGTCGAATGTCCACTGTACTTCTGCCAGTGCATTTCTCACACTTTCGCCAGTTACAGCGTAACTTAAATTTGTAATGAAAAAATTTCAACTATTGTTTTATTGTCATTGATACTAGAGCTTGATCTGTGTCAGTCTCCACATATCTCAAATCGACATCCTTTCTTGATAATCAATGAAAGTATGCTGGAATATCGCCAATAAATGTCTGGATATTCGCCAATAAAGTACTGATTTTTAGTCCATTGGACTTTCGCCGAAGTGTTCTTGTACTTTCACCAATTGGCGAACGTCTACTGAACTTTCGCCAATAAACTGCAGCACTTTCGCCATTGGCGAATGTTCTGTTGGCGAAAGTCTTATTGGCGAAATTCGGGAATCCCAGTAGGATTCATATTGTCTTCAAAAGAGAAACTGAAATGATGTCTTTTTCAAATAAATGTTCTTCAATAAGATAACATTAAGAAGTTAAAATTAAAATGGAGCAAATGGAAATAGAAATTAAAATTGTGGTGTACGATTTGTTTGCACAAAATACTTTACGTAGGCTTTTTACATTTAATCTATTCACTTTTGTCTAGTTATTTCTTTTTGCTTTTCTTTCTGCTGATACACGTAGTTGTATGGGTAACAACAATAAGGCGATGCTTATTACAGAAAGGAAAAAAAATGAATATCACGAAATCTTTTTCTTCCCTTATGTTACATTGCACATATACGCTTACTGTTACTATCTTTTGTAAAGTATTACGTACAAACATACTCTACATTACAATTTTAATTTGTATTTTAATGTGCTGAATTTTAATTTTATCTTTTTAATGCTATCACACTGAAGCAAATTTAGTCAATAAATCGAAATCCTTTTTTTTCAACACAATATCACACAGCAACCACAGTTTCTCCACCTTTCAGAAATACGCCGAATATTCTTCCATCTAATGTTGACGATGGCACAGTTCTTGATGATCAATCAAGAACTCCCAGTAGCACGCAATCAACCAATAGTGATTTTTCTATGCTCAATTCACCGCTTGTGTCAGCTTCGTACACATGTTCTTCAACGACTCTCTCTAGTATGCATTCACAGTTAATTGATATACAAAAGCAATTAAACAAGATAACACATCAGATGGAAAATTCTCATTCTGGTGCTTCGTCAATATCACAATCACCTCCTCTCTTTAATACGAATGAAGCGGTCGTTGACAAATTATTAGAACGCGTAAAAACATCGGATGATTTATGTTTAATCAAATGTCTTCGAATACGTGATGATCTTGGGCTTGTTCTGTGTGAAACGTGTTCAACTTTCAAAAATGGAGCACCATCAAGTATAATCCGGGGTGTTAAGGCTTCATTTGGACATTTTGTGTTTTGTCAAACAATTGCGAGATCAGCCGATGTCACGTGAATTTCGTAATTTCAAAAGTCATCTAAAAACACATCTAGAAAGCAAGCTACATATTTGGTGCAGCGAAGAAGAACTAAACAGAAAGCAATATTTTGAAGATTTTTTGAAAAAGAACCGTATTGCTGGAATGAACGTTGGAAGGTGTGCATTATTTTGTATTAGAAGTGGATTAGGTGGCTTAAAATTTGAAGAGAGTTTAAATCTGATGGACTTATGTGGTGCGCCCTTGGTACTTATCGGTTAGTAATTGATTTGATAAACTGTTTTTCTTTATGTGATGAGATGGTTGTCTTCTCTGTAGGCATAGCAAGTGGTTTTTTGATAGAATACGTACGGTGATGGCAGATATTATTATAAGTTGGGTTACACACTATTTAGAAACACCTAATCCCATAACAAAACACCGACCAGCTTTTCCTATTACAGTTGACAAAGCAACATTTCTTCGACGATCGGTTCAGATTACAATGATACTAACGATAATAGATGGAGAAATTACGCCAATATATTTAAAAGCGCCATCGCCATTATGTTTGTCTGAATTAACTGGAAAAGAACTAGCAACAAATTGTGTTGAAGTGTTACAAACGTTCGGACTGTCACAGTTCACTCTGCAGCAACAACTGGTTGGTGGTGCGGTAGATGGTGCATATCTTCACTTAAACATTGATAAACATTTATATGATGAAATTGGAATGAATGTTGATTGGTTATGTTTATCATGGGATCCAGCCCATTTAATTGGACTTGCTGTTAATGATTTAAAGAAGAAAAGAAGTTATATGTGGTTAACATCATTCATAAAACTATGTTCAAACTTAATGAAACAATACATACAGTTATGGGAAATCATATGAACAACTCATTGAAACAGCGGATGAATTGGATGAAGATATACTTGATCTCAGACGATTCCACGAAACCAGATTTGTTAGCTCGGAAAGACGAGTGTACGAAACTATTTTTCGAGATTGGGCTGTACTTTATAAACTTCATGAAAAATCTAGCGTGGGAAATGATTTAATGCATGGAAATATTAGTGCAAGAACAAGAATGCATTCACAAGAAGAAGACGATAGTAGTTACAACAGAATTAATGATCTTGCATCTCCCAAAGTAAGTTATACTATCGCTTGCTTTAGAAAAAGTCACACTTAACAGCCACTAATAACAAGATTTTGAATTGAGCATATTTCCATTTCTTTCATCCACTTTTGCAATTTTCATTTAGCTTGATGAAATGAAATCGATCAATTTTGTTTGTATATTAATTGCTTTATGTGTTATTTACAAATATATCGTTAGGTGTTCATTGTTTGTTCAAAAAGTGAATGTATATCCTTGGCAGATTTATGAAGCGCTTGACGAGTTGTACGAAGCATTATAATTTTATTCAATCCTATTAAAGCATCCTGTACCAAACGAATCAAATGTTACTCAAGAAATGAACAGCATTAGTGACGATAATGGTGCATGCGGTGGTACAATGGCATTCGATCGCGAATCGCCAATATTTCCTGATAATGATGGAATTGAACCAGAGAGTAACAATGACAGAAATAATGTTGAAAAAGAAAATATTGAAAATACGTATTTACAAATGTATTATGAAGATCTAAAACTGGGCATTTTTAAAGAAAGGCCAATTACAAGAGGTCGTTCAGAATATGGTTTGGAAGACCCAACCGAAAAAATAAGAACACGCTTGGCATGATTGTGTGAAGATTTTATGAAATCGATCAAACAAAGATTTGCCGAAACACCATCTGTAGTAATATCAATGAGAAACTGCCTGGACCCTGCGCAGCTTTTTACTTCGGATCCAAAGGTATATCCACAATATGGAGTCAAAGAATTGGATGATCTTATATTATTTACAAAACAAAATGCACCGTTAACATTAAATATTGATTTCGATATAGTTCGCGATCAATATCAGTTATGGAAAACAAGTTTTCTACATGAAATTCAAGACAAAATATGAGGGATTTATGGATGAGAAAGGATAAAGTGGTGTCTACACTCGTCATGAAAACTTATTTTACATCTGAAATATTAGCAAACAAAATCGAAGAATTTTTGTATTTTTATTCTTTAATGATTCTCAAAGTTAGAAGCGAAGCAGTCTGTGAATGTGCAGCTTCAGTAATGAAGATCCATATCCATCAAAATCGAGCGTCAGATCATGACTCATTGAACGATGAAGTTTTAATCCATTGGAATGCTCCACTTCTCCACTTAGCAACGCAATTTATCGAAGAATCATTAGATCTTTATTTTAACCGCCTTCAAGATAAGCATTGGTTCTTTTTTAATAAAATAGAAATGTATCGTGTCTGGAGTTTAATACGTCCTGACTCTGTTGGGTTGCATCGTCTCCGATAACAACAAACCGTTCGTCTTTCTTCACCACGATCTATTTGAACAGTATGCAGTTAAGAACTTTGCTTACAGTCAACAAAACACCTAACAGGCTATTTTCTCATTTTTTAGATGAACATCGTTGATACCTCTCTAAACTAAAACAGAAATGCCAACGTTTCAGTTTCATTTCGGGGAAATTTTTCGGTTCGCTCGGGGAAGCGTTGTAAGATTCTGAACCTCTACTTTTACCAGATTTTCTAGATTCCACCTATTTTATAGAACAGTCGAAATGATCTCATGAGTTTTTTTTCCTCTTTCTTTTTGTTCTAATCATGTGTCCATTCAGTAGTTGTTTTCATTTTTATTTTTCTTCTTCTCTTCATTACCTAATATAATACAGCTTATATCAACTTCTTCTCAATTTCTAATTCTCAATTTCTTCATTCTTTACTTTTTGTCTTTATTTTGTCTGTACTTGTCTTTTTTATGTTGTCCTTGTCACTTGTTTTATATGTATTTCTTGTCCTGTCCTTTGTCCGCAGTCAATGATGTAAAGATACAATGGGTTCACCTCCTTCTCCTCATTATTGTACTGATCTTTTCTAACTTTTTCTCTTTCAATAAAACTAAAAAGAGAAAGATATGTATTTGCACGGATTTTAATGAGCGAAAAGCTATAATGGTAAGAGAGTCATAACGTCATCTTGAAACATAGCCATTGAATGGCGTGTTTGAAATCAACTATAGCTGCTTGATTTTCTGTGAGAGATATGATATTGGCTACTGCTGACTGTAAAATTTGCTGCATCATTGGCTTGAATGTGTTCAACTGGTTGTCGTTCTTTTTCTCTAATACCAGCTATTTGTAATGTATTATATGCTTATGTAGCTAATGCAAGTGTACTTCCGACGATTGTATAACCGTCAATTAATTGCCGTTTATTTCTTGACCTGATGTGACCAATACTAACCTTAAGCCATAAACTATAATCATTTTACATAAATCGCTTGCAGTTGCGTGAAAAAGCCTTATAGACAGCATGTAGATGTCTTATTTTCCTCAGAATTCTTTGCTCTATCAGGCTGTATGGCTTGTAAAATCTTCTGACCAAAAAAACCAAGGACTTGGTTTTCTAGCGGTCAGGTTTTCCAGAAACCCTGTCATCAAATTTTCTCATGAAACGGTGATATGACCTCATCTGACAGAAAAGTCTTCGGGCTATCCAAAACAGTATCCTCTGCCTTTCTATATATAAAGCATTCCGGTTCTGAAAGGATGAGGCGAAAAATGAAAAGTAATTTTCGTTTGAAAGACACCAGAAGAAATTTTTGAAAGTGGAAAGTGTTGGGAAGTGAAAAGGAAAGCATTTCCGATCATTTTCACTCAAAATCAGATTGGACCGTACCTCTTCCTTTCGGTTCTGCCCTGGTCAAAATTAAAATTCAACTTTTGGCCCATCACGTTCTGAATTCGGCCAGCAAGAGTTAGACTCGCAGTTTTGACCGTCCATATTCTAAGTTAGGTCAGTCAAAAGCAGAATTCGAACACAGATCCATCAAAAGGATAAGAGAATTAAATACAACTGGGAGTTGCTAAAGAATCCGATCGATCAAGACAAGTTCAACATTGACATTGAAAACCGCTTTTCAGCCCTATTCCAACCTGGAAGCCACGACGACGAATCACTGCGAATTCAAAACCGATACAACGCACTCGTGACCGCGGTAGAGAAGACAAGTGAAACCGTACTGGGGGCAAAGAGGAAAAAGAAAATCCCAAACTGGGTTTCAACCAAAACTCTAAGTCTCCCAGATGAACGAGACAGGGCCAGAAAGGTCTTTCGACAACAGAAAACACCAGCCGCACGATCTAAAAGACCATCCTTCTATCCTTTTCCATTTCTGACTTACACAGTGAACAATATGGGAAAAACACATATTTTAGCAACATCTGCCATTGAAAACTGTAAATTTAAGCACGATATCTGATTGTTCAGACTTATTCTTTTAGTCTGTTTTGTAGATGAGGCTCTGGACTATCTTTCACTTGTGAAGAGCGCAGTATTTTAACATTTCGCGGAAATATAGACTTTACAAAAAAATATTTTTTTCCTGGGCACCCAGCAGAACGAAAAAATCAGCTCACTCTACAGCAAGTGGGAAAAGCTGACTTTCTGACCTTTTTTTTGACTTTTGCAGGATTGAACCGCGAACTTGTGACAGCATTTTTGGGCCGTTCCATAGAATCGATGTAGTGAAGACAAACAAAGTACTAAAAATCTGCGGTTTGTGTCAGACGATAGAGGAAATCGAGCTCTATAACTCTGTACAAACCAAAGCGACATCTCGCCGCACACTAGTGCTTTCTGTCGAATGTACAGCAACGAGGTTGAACTTCCAAGTACCTGTTCTTGTAGAAGACACTCAGGACTATTTACCATTAAAAGTTTGCGCCCCAGTAATCCTTAACAAAGTTTGCGGTCACGTGCTGATGATCGATCATGCTAATAGTCAAGATGCCGCTTCCAGTTTCAGCTTTTACGCGACGTATTGTTAAAATAACTTGTTAAAACTATTAAAATTCTTTTAGAAATTAATCCTTGACAAAGAAGTATCCACCTCGATGGATCGTTTGTGCCCCTCTCAACTTTGTCTGATGAAAATTCTATCATTTGCCTCCTGTTTGGAAAGCCGTAAAAGAAAACGTCAGTTTTACTTTGCGAAACAATTTTGGCGACTCAGAGATAGTGGGTTTAAGTCTATCGTCACAACTAGTGATTACTATATATAATCCATCATCTACATTCAACATCGGATACCCTTCGAACGTTCTACGAGAGTTCACCAGAACTCAAAATAAATATAACCGAGTTAAGTTTTTATCAGAAAGCTCTTAACAAGTAAAAGATAGTCCAGAGCCTCATCTACAAAACAGACTAAAAGAATAAGTCTGAACAATCAGATATCGTGCTTAAATTTACAGTTTTCAATGGCAGATGTTGCTAAAATATGTGTTTTTCCCATATTGTTCACTGTGTAAGTCAGAAATGGAAAAGGATAGAAGGATGGTCTTTTAGATCGTGCGGCTGGTGTTTTCTGTTGTCGAAAGACCTTTCTGGCCCTGTCTCGTTCATCTGGGAGACTTAGAGTTTTGGTTGAAACCCAGTTTGGGATTTTCTTTTTCCTCTTTGCCCCCAGTACGGTTTCACTTGTCTTCTCTACCGCGGTCACGAGTGCGTTGTATCGGTTTTGAATTCGCAGTGATTCGTCGTCGTGGCTTCATCAAAATAAGGATGGTGAAGCGAGAGAACTTGGCTTTTGGATCGAGTGGCTAATTTTAACGAAAATGTACTTCACTTACAAACTCGAATTCCCGCGGGTAAACTAAGACTATGTCACACTCTCAACGAATGCATTGATATTCTTTCTAACGAACACCAAAGATTTATCCACCAAAGTCTATCTACTTCTGTCCTTATCATTCATGGATGAAGCGAGTAAAGCAGTCATAAGGAGAGCAGCAGCAACAACTGAAACGTTGTCAAACATTCTCTCGATTTATACTCTATGTTCTCCAGCGTATCACGCCGAAATTTTCTCTTTGACTGCTGGTTCTTCAATACTACACAGAAGCTATGCTGATTACCAATCGTTAGTCAATGGACTGCTTCAAGATCTATGCAGTCAGTACTACTGTTACAGGCGTTTCGCTAGCGATAACTTCATTGTCACTGCCGTAATGTCCCTTCCTTTAGTGATAGACTCCGTCTCTAACTTTCACTTTTCGTCCTCGACCGATACCACTGGCACGAAAAGGCAAGAAGTCGCATTTATGTACTCACAGTTGACAAGAGATTTTCTAGTCTCTAAAGAATCATGAGTGAATCGGAAATTATTGCATTCTGCCGTCAGCATATTCTGATAACGAAGCTCAGCTACGGTTCATTCAAGAATTCGAAGATTACTATCAGGAATGCAACGCAGTCTTTTGGTGTACTCGCGACACGTTTCTCTACCGTCTGTTTAACAAAGCCTTGAGACAGGATGATATCGAAAAATGAACAGTTTTGTTCTTTTTTGGGAAGTGATTCCCAAAAAAGAACACTTTGCTCTTGGACTGCTGGACTTCAGGAGTCCAGGAGTCCATAGGAGTCCATGGGAGTCCATAGGAGTCTATGGGAGTCCAGGAGTCCGCTTTTTCCCCCTTGATCATTGAAGAACCAGCAGCCAAAGAGAAAATTTCGGCGTGATACGCTGGAGAACATAGAGTATAAATCGAGAGAATGTTTGACAACGTTTCAGTTGTTGCT